AATGAATGAGAGGGCAGTGTTACCAGAGTTGCCCATATACCACACCATGTTACAACACAGTAGGGCTATTGCAGACAGAAACAATACTGTACTACATCGATGTTTCCTGTCGGCTCAATTTTTGAGTGGACTTTGCTCTTCCGATGAGCATGAACGGTATATGAGTGGAGCTGAGCGCATACGCATAGAGCGGGATAATACACAGAGCGTCACAACACGTGAAAGTGAAACCTGAGCGGTGAACTAATTTTCGGCAGCCGAAATTTCGGTGCATCTCTAATTATTGGCGACATCTGAAATGGATATTATATAATAGATGCTTTTTTAAACATTTTAGCAATTTAAAAATATTAAAAAATGATTTTTTACACGGCACCCCTGCTCTCGACAGACGGCACCCCGGTTGGGAAACACTGGTCTAGAGAAATATGTTATATTCATCTGTTGCTGTCTGCTCTGTGTGTGGAGCAGCTGTCTGATTGCTGTCTCCAACACCGAGAGCAGACAAAATGACAGAAGCAGCACAGTTGGCCAAAATGATGGTGACATTCATTCTTATGTAAACAAACATGTATGTAACAATAAGCATTAGTGAGTTCGGCAAAAAAAATAAAACATTGTTGTTATGTTTACATATCGTACAAAGCCAATAAAGTATTTAATATGACAGGTCTACTGTTGTTGAGTGTAGCTGCTGGTGAAATGTACTCACTTGAGTATCTTCAGCTCACACACAGGATTCTTCAGTCCCTCACAGATCTCTTTGACTCCTGAGTTCAGCAGACGGCTGTTGTTCAGGTTCATCTCTTTCAGGATGGTTTTGGAGGAGAGAACAGTAGCTAGAACTGAACAGCTTTTCTCTGTCAGCTTACAATTATTCAGCCTGAACACAAAAAGCAGCATTATTAATCTGCTCCACATGTAACTGGAAGTCCTTTATAATGACTAAACACAAATGTTATAATATATAAATCATGTTCACTCACTTAATTTTCTCCAGTTTGCTATGAGAGTCCATCAAAAGAGCAGAGAGTTTCTCCCCATCCAGGTCTCCTAATTTATCCTCACTCAGATCCAGTTCTTTTAGTACTAATGGATTTACACCCAGCATTTCAGTGAGATACTCACACGCTTCCTGTGCAGCTGGACTTTTCAAAAACCTAAAGGAAGTAGAACTTAGATTAGATAGTCATGCTATAATTTGTCATTTGTGGCTCTCATCCTCCTTATGGGTCCAGTGTAGTATTAATGTCATAGTTATGATAACAGCCTCCAGTTCAATTGAGAAAATGTAAGAAACTTGAGTTCCAGACTCATGAAATTCAGTCGTTTACTGGTATTGCATTTAAGTTCTACATCGTGTCATTTTAATTCATAATTTAATTATCCATTTGTCTCCTCTACATAGTTGCACAGCTGTCTGTGGCTTCTTTGAAATATTTGAAGTCAATTATCACCTGATGGTCTGTAATTTACAGCTTCCACCCCGCTGTAAATCAATGAGCCCCTCCACTCCTGATTGTCCGGGATAATTTCCTCTAAGATCCAGCTCTGTCAGGTGTGAGTTTGACTTCAGAGATGAAGTCAAAGTTTTATATCCTTCTTCAGTAATACTACAATCTGAAAGTCTGTATATAAAAAAAGATTGATTTAATGATATCACCTGCTTCATTTAAATTTCTAAATAGTTCATATAAAATGTAATATTGTAAGCTGTCAAATAAAAAAAACTGGAATTCTCCATAGTTTGGAGATTACTATGGATTACTCCATAGTAATCTAGATTTTTTATCATTTGATATACCAAATAGACATTTTGTAATGTATTCTGTATCTTTGTGTGTGACGAGAGGGGCGGGGCCGAGAGCCGTGGGAACGGAGCGACCCCGCCCCTCTCGTCACATAGTGATTTGGTGAACTTAGCTGGTAATTTTCCTCTGTCCCTGTTTTGTGTGTTCCCCCTCATTACTTCCTGATTGTTTGCACCTGTGTCTTGTTAGTCTAATGCTGTGTTCACACCATGTCGTAATTCCGAGATGAGAACACGTGACAATCTACTCTAAATTATGTGTTTCTATGGTAAAACTATCAACGGCAAAGGCCTCACGTGCTCCTGAACTCACAATTACAACTTATAAACTCAGAATGTTCTGAGAGTTACGACTTGGATCAGTGACAGCTGTTCCACATTTCCACCAGCTTAATTTTGGCACTAGTTAGGCACTACCTCTGAGTCCAAGAACATGGAAAGCTATGGGTAAAATGCCACGTGTTGTCATCTCGGAATTACGGTAATTACAACATGGCGTGAACACAGCAGAATTCCCCCTGTGTATTTAAGCCTTTATGTTTTCTGTGTTCATTTGCTGGTGTCCACTGATGAAAGTACTGTTGGTGTTCTCAGTTCTGCTCAAGCTTCTCTCATGTCACCTTGTTTTTTTTCTTCTTCTTCTTTTTTTGTTAATATTACATTTTAGTGAATCAAACAAAAGCACAAAGATACAGAAAACATTACACATTAATAAATGTATATTCACACACAGACATGTACATAAATTAAAATACACACTTCAGTTTCTCTAATCTGCATTGTGCATTTTCCAACAGAGGACAGATTTTCTCAATTCCTGAGTTTTCTAGTTTATTTCCACTCAGATCCAGCTCTATCAGGTTTGAAGGATTTGAGTTAAATGCTGAAGTCAGAGCAACACAACCTTCTGCAGTAATGCTGTTATTATTCAACCTACAGAGAAAGAAAACAAAGACAGGAAACAGTATTCAGTTTATCTCAAAACCTTCTTTAATAAACAACAATGACAGTTTTAATACAAAACAAGTGAAAATATAACATCAAAATAATGTTGTATTCAATACTCACATCAGTGTGTTGAGTTTACAGTGTTTATCCTGCAGTAGAGCAGCAATCTGATCCATTTGTTTGTCTCCTAGCTTCTGTTCACTCAGATTCAGTTCTCTCAGGAGTAACGGGTTTTTACCCACAATTCCATTTACATACTGACAGGCTTCACCTGCAGCAGGACCCAAAAACCTGCAGAATGGAAGATGAAGTAGGATTAAATTCAGTTCTATACTAAACTTGGTATAACAGAAAAATCTAGAAATTACTGCTTAAAACCTATATTAAAACTTTTAATACAAATCACCATTAACAATAACAACAGATTACTGTATTAGTGAAATATGTTTTCAATAAAAAAATAATCCTTCATGTAATTTATTTTATATTATTTCATCATCTCACCTCAGTGTCTTCAGTTGACAGTTTGGATCCTGTAGTAAATCATTGAGCTGCTTCACTCCTGATTGTCCAGGATCATTTCCTCTGAGATCCAGATCTATCAGGTGTGAAGGGTTTGATCTCAGAGCTGAAGCCAGAGCTTTATAACCTTCTTCAGTGATACTGCAGTCTGAAAGACTAGAACAGGAATGTAAATGTAACATTCAGATTAATTGATTATTCTAGAAACGTTCTGAACAATCTAAATCCATTAAAGGAAACATTTTGTGAGATGGAAGCAAACCAAAAAAAAAAAAGGACCTTTAGTATGTCAGGCATCAACTCACCTGAGTTTCTCTAGCTTACAGTTCTCTTTCAGCCCATCAGAGAGCAGCTTCACTCCTGAATCATGTAGATTATTGTTGCTCAGATAAAGATCCCTCAGACTGCTGAAGTCTGAACTGAGAACTGAAGTGAGAGCTGAACAGCTTTCCTCATTTAGATCACAGTTACTGAGCCTGAAAATAATAATAAAAAATATATATTATGGATATATAACTGTACCATTATTGTAGGAAGCAGAGGTGTTGAGAGTGAAGCAGCACCAGAGAAACCAGCAGATTACCAACGAAATTTGATAATTTATGTATCTTTTCCTCAGCCTTTAACAAACATGTCGGATGGGTTGGGGATCTCCCACAAAAGAAATGCTCAATATGTTAAATTACTAGCACTGACCAGCATAGTTAATTTTATATTTTGTCCACTCCTAGCGGTTTAATATAAGATTTAATAAATATATAATATATTTTGTGATTCCTGTTGTGTTGAGTGTAGCTGCTGGTGAAATGTACTCACTTGAGTATCTTCAGTTCACACACAAGATTCTTCAGTCCCTCACAGATCTCTTTGGCTCCTGAGTCCAGCAGACGGCTGTTGTTCAGGTTCATCTCTTTCAGGATGGTTTTGGAGGAGAGAACAGTAGCTAGAACTGAACAGCTTTTTTCTGTCAGCTCACAATTATTCAGCCTAAACACAAAAAAATAAATAAAAAATATTTAACACAAATTAGATCAATAGGTCTTTATACAGTCGGCCTCATTTACGAAACGAACGGACGGCAGAAAATTGGGCGTACGGTCGTTTCAATGCAAAACTTGGAATTTTTCAATATGGACGTGAGCGGTGACTACGATCAAATCTCACGTCTGGCTTTAAGGAAGCTACATATATTATATATGCATTTATATTATATATGCAGGGCTTTAAGAAAATAATCATAAAGTTCAGGTCATAGTTAGAAGAGAGGGGTTACTGTGTGAACACTGGTGACCATAAATCTGAATAGAAAGTTCCACAAGGCTTGATTCTTGCACTGTTCCTGTTTAACTTGTATATGGTTTCACTAGGCAAAATAATAATAAAAAAAAAACTGATCATCACAGCTATGCAGATGACATCCAGATCTACTTAAGTCTATCACCCAGTGACTACAGTCCCACTGACTCCCTGAGCCAGTGTATTGATCAAAGTAACAGTTGGATGCACCAGTTCTTCCTTTAAATAACCGAGAAAAACAGTGGTTATTGTATTTGGCAAAAAGGATGAAATTCTCAAGGTTAACCCAAAACTTTGGTAAATCCAGAATTTTAGGGATCACAAAACAAAACATCAAGTCAAGAATATAGGTGTGATTTAGGATTTCAGTAGTCACGTCAAGTAATAACTTAATCAGCAAACTATCATATCAAGATATAGCAAGACATACTGTAGATGATTTTTAGATCCCACTACAACTTGATAAAATTGTTAAATGCTTTTATCACTAGCAAAATGGACTTTAATCACCTCACTTACAATCACCTGCCTTCTCAAAAAGACCATTAGACAGCTGCAGCTCATACAGAGCACAATGCTTCCAGGATTATGACCAGAACCAGAACATCACACTCAGGTTCTAACATTGGCTTCCATGTACAGTTAGAATGGCTTTTATAGTATTATTGCCTGTTAATTTATTCAGTGGCCAATTACTAAGAGACAATGAGGATATGATAAATGAATAAAATAGGGTTGAGCCAGTTAGAAATACCTAATGACAAAAACTGAGTTACAAAAATACAAGAGATGCATAAAAAAAGGATTATACAAGCCATTTTACATTTACATACAGAAATACTAAGGTTCAAAACAAGGTTTGTTTATGTTCAACAACACAAGAAAAGTCAGTAGGCACATTCAAATCCAGACTATAAACACTGTTTAACAGTGTATTATCTGAGCACTGTGCTGGATTTACTGATTTCACTGTATTATTTTATTTCTGTATTTTTCTCTTATTTCATTTAAAATATGTTTTACATTTCTTATACACCTTTTATGAGAATTGTTAATCACTTTTTTTGTATAGCACTTTGAATTTTCATACATGTTCTACATGAATAACCTTGCCTATAAAATCACGTTGACTCACTTCAATTTCTCCAGCTTGCTGTGAGAGTCCATCAAAAGAGCAGAGAGTTTCTCCCAATCCAGGTCTCCTAATTTATCTTCACTCAGATCCAGTTCTTTCAGTAATAATGGACTTGTACCCAGTAATTTAGTAAGATAGTCACATGCTTCCTCTGCAGCAGGACTTTTCAAAAACCTACAGGAAGTAGAAGACAATTTTAGATGAGATAATCTTGTTGTAATTTTATACTGTTTGCTGCTCCCATCCTGCTTATGGGTGGAGTTCAGCAAACACAGATCATCCCCACTAATATGTTTCCATAGTTAATGTATTAGTGTGAGGTTCCATTTGGTTTTTAGTTGTTCCTAGCTCAATTTAATGTTACTCAGTTTTTTAAACTTCAGTCGTTTAAAGAGAACATGATATTAGCAAGTGTAAACATAACATTGTTGTTGTTGTTAAAATTGTATTCAGAGGCCCAAACTGAGAAAATATAAAATGTTAAAAGCTTATAATATAATGTCAGTGAGATCTTTATAACAGTAAAGCAGACTACTTTAATAAAACACATATAAATATCAGTTGTCATTCTATATGTCCAAATAATGTGTCTTAGTGAAATTATATTTAAATTGTATTATCAAAGCTCTTTAGGTTTTTTTTTGTGTGTGGGATTCAGAGATAAACAAATAAACGTCCCTCAAAACCCCGATGTTTCATATTTGATACATAATTTTCATAAAAATAAAAAAAAAACCTGATGTGTAAATAATCAAGCAAACT